AATCTGCTTCATTTTAGACAGACTCGAGCACAGGTCACAGTTGCCTGAACCTTGTGAGGCCTTGGCAGATCTCATCCCTCGATACGTTCAGACTTCTGGGTTGTGGACAGTGAACGAACTTGGTAGCCAATTTTGTCAACGGTGGCATGCTAATTATCATTCTATTATTATGTTGCGTGGGATGTGAGGAGATGTCCAGTTACGTGCGCCTGTTCATGAGTGGCAGGTCACGTCAAGCAAAAGTGGTTCCCCAAAGCTAGGCTCTGTCTAGCGACCACACCCTGGTAACCGCCTCGACAGGGGGGTTAAACCAGTTGAGGGCATCCGGTGTTTGTGTGACTCCATACCTAGTAATTCTGCTTCCATCCTACCCGTCTCCCCCCCCTCCCGCCCAACCCCCCTCTCCACTTCAAAAAGCCCCATGGAGAGGGCAACATGCAGTCCCGTCAGTGGCCCAGGCCAACTCGGGTATGTGCTGAAGTACTTGACTACTTGACCTTTGACCTCTCCAATAAACGAGGGCCGTGAGCCATTGTGGAGTTCGGCAGCCGTCTGGGGTGCCTAGGCACCCCCTATGGGACAGCAGTGCTTAGCCCCTCGCGTAGGAAAGGGTTAGAAGAGGTGTTCTAGACAAATTTGGGATCACGACATCTGCACGTAGACCGTGGCTCGCAGATGACAATTCACGCTAGAAAAACAACAAAGAACAACAACAGCATCAGCTTTGTTCGTCGTAGTCGGAAACGGAACTTAGTCCGCTGCCTAACCAACAGAGCTAGACGAATTTTTACTCCGTATACACTGGAAAACGAACTGGCCTTCATGCGAAACACTGTGGAAAAATGGTTTCCCCGATAAATTTATCAGCAGATATATGGAAGATCATTTACCAAAATCGAATAAACCGATGGTAGATAAGAGAGAATTGTTTCTCACTTTGCCATTTCGCGGAGACCCGGCCTGTGACCTTCTACAACGTCGTCTAAACTCCGCTATTGTACGCACGTACTCTGCCGCTAGAACGAGAATAATTTTCTCTAACACCCCACTTCTCTGCCTTGAAGGATAAGCTGCCGTTTCAGACCTCCTCAGTGTACATCTACGCGTTCTTTTGCTCCTGTGGAGCAGGTTATATCGGTCGAACAACAAGACGCCTTTCCAAGCGGATGCGAGAGCGCCATCCTGCCTGGCTATAGCAAGGCGAGGAAAAGTCCATTTCTAGCACCATTTTGGCTCACTTGGTTGGCACCGGCCACGAGGTAGACGTCAACCAAGCATTCCGTGTCATCTATAAAGTGCCGGCAAGACGCTCGAGGTCCCTGCGTCAACGGATAGTTGCGGCAGCCGAGGGGTTGCCCATACGACTGACGAATCCAACCTTGTGCTCGCAGAAGGCCTTCATTAAGGCCCTCCTATTACCCTGGTCAAAGGCGAGTCATGAAAATTCCGACCCGCACCATGGCACGTCGCGCCACAGCGACGAAACATGAGCACAACTCAGTCAGACTACCCTACCTCCTCCTCCTCTCCCCCCTCCCCCTTTCCGTACCACTGACAGAAACTGGACTATAATTATCCCGCTGCCCCACAAGTCTGACTACTGTTCATAAGTTGTTTTACTCCTCAAATTTCCCTGCTTTATCTAGACCTATATTAATGCACTGGCCTGATGAAGAATAATCGAAAAGGTGCGTTCGCCGACCTGAACTTCCTCAACAACAGTTACTTTTGCCTCCCTCCGCTCCGCTCCACCTTGCAGACTGCTAGGATGAGAAAGCTCATTCTGGAAACTTGGGATGTTCTTTCTTTTTTTACACAATTCGAAGAGCAACCGGCCGGAATGGAGGGAAACTCTAGTCCCTCGAGAACGTGTGCGCTGCAAGGTGGACATCGCCGCTCTCAGCGAGACCCGTTTCTCTGAAAAAGGCCAACTGAAGGAGGTGGGTGCCGGCCACACCTTCTTTTATAGCGGCCGTTCATAGGAAAGGCGACGCAGCGCTGGCGCCGCCTTTGATTTTCGGAACGACATTGTGCGACGACTGCCCTGTCTGCCTCTGGGCGTCAATGATCGACTCATAAGCCTGCGCCTGCGTCTTCAGAGGCAGAATTCACCATCATCATCACCATCATCAGCGTCTATGCCTTTCCTACGACCAGCTCTGACTAGGTAGAGAACAAGTTTTACGCGAACCTGCGGGCCCTCCTGGCGACTCTACTGAGGACGAACAAGTTGGCTGGCTTTGGTGGCTTCAATGCTCACGTCGGGGCAGACCAGGCTGCCTGGACTGGAGCGCTGGATCCTCATAGAATAGCCGGCTACAAACACAATGGCCTCCTTCTGCGAACATGCGCAGAACAACGTCGCCATCTCTGCAACACCTTCCGCCTTCCCACGCGGAATGCCTGGATGCGCCCCCGACCGTGGAGCTGGCAGCTGTTGGACTACGTTCTCGTCCGGAAGCGAGATCGACGGGGCGTGATGGTGTCAAAGGCTATCTGCGACGCCTGGAGGGACCATCGTCTTGTCATCGCCAAGATGCGGCCCCGACTTCAACCTCACAGAAGACCATAAGTTAAGCAACCATCAGGTAAGTCAAATACTGTTCTGTTGAGTCTACCTGCTCACCGCCTCGATTTGAACAGTCGACCCAACTACTAGAAGATCTGCAAGGTCTGTATGAAAACACCTCTGTGGAGACACGCTGGTACAAACTGAGGGACACAATCCACTCCAGCGCACCAGATTTCTTCGGAGGCGCACGCTGCCAACACTAGGCCTGGTTTGCCGACACTGACTCAGACATCAGTAACCTTCTGGATGAAAGGAGCAGGACGCATAGACCTACGTGGGCCGCCGAAAAAAACGGCCTTCTACAGATGTTTTCTCCTTGTGCAACGAGGTCTGTGGGAGATGGTGGATGCCTCACTTGCTCACAATGTCGAGGAGATCCAAGGGTATGCGGACCGCATTGACGCAAAAGACTTTTTCGCACCAATCATTACAGTTTGTCATCCCACAGCCAAAGGAACCGCCCAGCTTCTCAGCTCTGACTGGACGACGCTTTCGATGATGAAATCAAAGGTTCTGAAACGCTGTGCCGAACAATTTAGAAATGTTCTCTACCGCCCATCCACGATCCTGACGCTGCCATCGATCGGCTACCCCAAGCGGAAACGACCAACGATCTGGACCTCCTGCCATTGCTGCCAGAAATCATAGGAGGCGTCCAATAGCTCTCCAGGGGGAGAGCAACCGGGATCCGACGCGATCCCAGTACGGTGGCCCCCGACTGATGGGAAAACTTACAGCGCTCTTCTAGGAAATGTGGCATCAAGGACAATCCCCTCAGAGTTTCAGGAGCACGACAATCTTCAAAAGGAAGGGGAACCAGCAACCCAGTGATAATCACAGAGGAACCTCACTGTTCAACATCGCCAAGAGAATCTTATCTCATGTCCCCCTTAACTGCCTCGACGACCATCTAGAACAAGGGCTTATATCGGAAAGACAGTGCGGCTTCCGACGACATCGAAGAACCATCAACATGATCTTTGTCGCCCACCGGCTATAAGGGAAGTGTCAGGGAATGGGGACCCACTCCGATGCTATCCTCGTGGACTTGACGAAAGCCTTCGGCACGATGAATTGCGATGGACTCTGGAAAACCATGCCGAAATTCAGATGTCCAGAGCGATTCACGCACATCGTGCATCAGCTCCACGACGGGATGGCAGTGCACGTCAATGACAAAGGGGCCATCTCAGGGGCGTTCACGGCGAGCAGCATAGCGGAGAAGAACTGCGTACTCGCCCAAACCCCTTTCAACCTCATGCTCTCTGCCATAATGATGGACGCATACCGTGATGAGCGTCCAGGGACCATAATTGCCTACGGGACCGATAACCATCTTATCTATAGCCGACGTATGCAGGCCCCCAAGCAATCTATCAACGACTACTGTTCACGATCTGCTCTTCGCGGACTAATGCGCCCTCAATACCACGACAGCAACACACATGCAGCGGAGTCTGAACCTTTTCGTCTCCGGCTGCTCCAACTTCGGGCGGACCATCAACCCAGACAAAACGGTGGTCATACCTCAGCCGCCGCCCAACGCTGCATACAACGTCTCTCGGATAAACGTCAGCGCAATCCAACTCAAAACCGTGGACAACCTTGTATATTTAGGCAGCACAGCCTTTCGCTGTATCAAAATCGACGATGAGATGAAACGGCGGATCTCCAAAGCCAGCCAGGCCGTCGGTCGGCTGTGGGGCTCATACAGCCGTCATACTGACAGCACTGCTGTATGCTGCGCTGCTACGAGAAACAAGCAAGGAAACCCAACCATGTTCATCTCAGCTGTCTCCGTTGGATGCTACGTTTGGGGTGGCAGGACAGGATCCAGAACATAGGAGTTATGAACTGGCCGGAGTCCTCAACGTCCACGCCATACTGCGGCAACTGCAACTGTTATGGACCGACTACCTTATGAGGATGGACGATGAGCAACTATCCAAACGATCACGGGTGCTCCGTGACAAGGAGTCAAACTCGCCGCTGCAAGATCCCATTGGGGAATTCCTTGAGGCAATTGGAAATCAACCCAAGACCTGGGAATGGCTTGCACAGGACCTGCCGTTCTGGAGAAGAACGGCGAAGACTGGAACAGCATTCAAAATAGCCAACGAGATCGCCGCTGTCAGAGCCAAAAGAGCGGCTCGCAGGTCTCAAGCGCCGTCGGCCGACATCATCAACACCACCCCTTCCAACACACTCACGTTGTCAGCGGATATTTTGTGAGCAAATGGCCTCGTCGGGCATCTCAGAACTCAAGTAACCAACATCCACACAACCACAACAGCTGTCTTTCCAAACACAACTGCTTCAACCCCCGCGGCGCCCACGACGACGATCGCCCTCACTACCGATGCCGCGCTGCCGCCGATCGCCGCAATCTTTGTTATCCCTGCCACAACATCCATGGCGACGACGATTAGCACCACAGCTTTCATTCCTGCCACCGATAAAAACGATCCCGCGCCCCAACAAGCATCACCAATCCCACGACCAGAGATGTGGGCTCAGTGCCAACCTGCCCTTATTGTGATCGCATTAACCTCACGCATCGACCTGATCTGTCACTTGCGAATCCATAGCATTGTGACCGAGGCGCCAGCGCCCAGAGCCCCGACCTACACCCGTCGCACCGCCTCCATTGCCCGCATTGTCCACGCACATTTATACACCGCATGAGCCTATTCGGTCACATGCTTATCTACATCAACGGAATTCATCGCAATATCGACACACCTTGCACATCTAGCAACTTTTCCATCCTTAACTCAATTAATCCCCCATCCGCCAGCGCGACCGCAACCAGCTGCACCACAATCTCAACCAACTTAGCATCCCAAACATATCCTGCCCACACCGTCAACACACATTCACCCCACTCATAGGCCAGGTCGGTCACATGCAAATCCATCACAGCCTACATTATCCTCGTGCATGCAGCCATCTCTGGGACCTATCCGGCCACAGGTACCTCCATGAAAACCTGTGGTAAATCACCCAGACATGACCAAATCGCAACGCACTCCGTGCACCACATCATCAGCACTTCTCGCGTAAGTGGGAAGTGTGCCTTTCACTCCATTCTCCACGTGGCTCCTCTGCTACACGCGAGATCCGAGCGGTCTACATCCTTTTGTGTGAAATCTTGGTGTATGCACGCGAGAGCAATGTCGAGGGTGTGGTACGTGCAATCGAGTCGTTAGCCACCTCCTACAATCCCACTATCAGCTGGTCAACCGGCTCGGACAGTTAAATGGTGCACGGGACAGGGTAGAGGGAGTGAGATCAACGGTCTCAGCACATAATTCCTCACTATAAACAATCTGACGCGCTTGAGACTATCACGGTGTACTAAAAGCCGCAGCCAGGAGGTTGCTAAGTGACGCTTCAACTCAGACCACACATTTAGCTCGGCTGTGTGTCTGTGTGTTGAGTGTTGAGCGACGGACTGGTGGACTGAGAATCAGACTTTGATGATTTCTTCTTAATGGCACACTCTCATACGTGCGAAACCCGAGTCACTTTTCTCTTGCGTATGTGGGCCAGGTCGTGCAGATGGCGCGCGCAGACGACCCATTCAGCTCTGTCAGCCACTGAGCACACTTCCGGCATCAGACAGTAGACTGGCGTCTAAGAGTGAGAAGAGAGAGTGATGTTGACGGTCCCAGCGCACATTCATCACTACAAACAATCCGGCGCACTTAAATCTACCAAGGTGCGTTAAAAGCCATGGTTCCGAAAGCTGCCAACTCACAGGACAACTCAGACCTCACAGTCAACCCAATGTGTGTTTTTGTGCTGTGGCCAACTGGTGGACTGAGAGTCAGACTGCAATGGTTCCTTCTTAATGTGACCTCTATGTCACTTCTACTCAGTGGGATCCGAGCCGGTGCGGTTTCAGGGGGCAAGAGTGCGGGTTTTCACCGTACCGGCCACTTGCGTTTTCTCTCGCCTCCGGCCTTTTTGGCCTTGTAACCGAGCCGGGCCAAGGTTGGGGGAGGAGGATAGAGTGCGGAAGATGCTGCGTAAGTATACTGTCGTCACAAAAGAAATCACGCGCAGTTCACCGTCGCTGATCCCGACCCTGCTGTGTTGCACATGATGGACGCGGTCGGGAACGACGGTCGAACTGTCGGTTATGTAGAGAGGTTATTCTGTTCAAACTTTTCAAAGCGTAGGTCGTATTGTCTTTTCCGTAGCGACCCCCTGATTGGTTTCAGGGGCCGCTCCCGACAGCGGGTCACACGGGAGCCGCGACGGACCAACACGAGCGCTACGGACCCACACCAACTGACGTACATGCGGGTTGTAGCGGCACGCCTGGGCGGGGGCTCACGCCGCACCTGCCACCTGCGCCCGATCCCGCCCTCGGTCTTTGTGACTCAGCCTTGACACCAGGCCCAGGTTGGGGGAGGGGTGAGTGCGGTAGATGCTGCGCAAGTCTACTATCACTGTGAACTAGCCCATGCGCAGGTCAGCGTCCCTGCGCCCGCCAAGCTGCTGACCACGCTGTGGACACCGTCGGGAAAGGAGCTCGAAATGTCTGTATGTTAATTAGCTGGCAAATCTGGCCACCCTGCGGTGGCTCTTCCGATCATACGTGTATTTATGCTAATGCTCATACATGTGGTCGACACAAAATCGATTGGTCAGTAGGCAACTTTTTTTCCAAGCAGAATTTCCGTAATTCCTTTGGTGAGATGAAGATTGATTTAGTTAGTGTATGATCGAAGTTCACGTTGTTATCGTTTTTAAGGGCAAGAAAAGGGGTGACAGGACACGAGCTTTCTATGAACTCTGACATGGGGTACCAAATCGCGCAAAATGTCGAGGATCTTAACATCACAGGAGACAACCCTGGATGTTTTATTAGGTTGGACAATAGAACGAAAAGACGAATGGGCGTTTTTTCTTAATACTGCCATCAGACTGCCGACTGGAAGAAAACATATGTAGGAATGAGCGGAGACGGTGCAGAAGGTTCTTGCAATCATAATTTTCCCCACGAGAGTTCAGAGGTCTTATCACCTGAGAACCGAAGAATAACGTCATAATAATTCCATGGCGGAATAGACCGAGTTCAAATTTAGGGTTGATTGGTTGCCACCGAGTATCAGTGGGAGGTACCAAGTTTAACTTTTTGGATCCACACCGGTAAATAAGGTTGTCAAGGTCGCGCAACCACCAAACAGTGCTGTTGACCGCGGGGTTTTAGCTGTCTACCCAGGCAGGGAGCACCTAAAGAAACTTACGACTTACGAAAATGAACAGACTCACATTTAACACAGTAACCAGTCGTTATTGGAGAAGGGGCGCAGAAGATGGCAGCCCGAAGAGTAGCAGAAACTGGCGAATGTCTCTATCCTTATATTTGTAAAAGGGAATACCCCAGTCCGGCGGGTTGTCTCGATGACAATAGGAGAGACGATCAGCGGAACTGTCAAACCAAGAACAAGGAGCCTATGATGTATATGTGGACGGCTGAACCGTGTACTCATGGGGATTTGTTATAGACAGTGAACATGGCTATTTTCAGTCTAGATATACCCCCCGTCAAGAACTTCACGTGCTTATTTGCGTCCAGTCAAGCAAACCTGTCTGCAAGGGGCCCCCACGATGCTCGGACAGCTGGGGAAATAAACAGTGGAACACTGGGGCAAATACAAATGGACTATCTAGGGCAATGAAAGTGTCACACAGTCCTCCCTCCGTCAATGGTTAGCGTAGAGCCTAGAAACTGCATACCTGGCGCATCCGCGTAGTTCGGGAAACTGACCGACTAGCTGCGCCGGAGGAAACACTGAGACGTTTTGCCGCCCCGTTCCTCCATCGATGTGGCGAGTGCATGAAGCGATTCGAAACGTACACCATAATTGGCTGACCTTGAGACAGTCCGCCGCAGGTTAGCCGGGCGGCGGCTTGCTCATGCCATCCTCAATTCGCTTCACGCTCCCTATCAGCCGACTTCGAGAGCCGCACTTGGCTTGACACCACTGTGGCGAATGCCCGAGGCCAATTAGTGCTGCCTCCCTCGCTGACTGGTCGCAAGAGATAAAAGAAGATAGGTGTCCGAGCAGTTGGAAAGACATTAGTGGTGGAGATCTACTACGCTAATGGACGACTTACGGATTGGAAATGGGAAGGCGCAGAAGACGCAATAGTCGTCTCGATCCGCGTAAATCCGCTGGAATCTAATAAAGGCAAATCACGTAGGCACACGAAGGGCTTTGTTGTCATGCGAAATTTTTCTAAAGCGGCCAAATATACGTGGGTGGTGCTAGAGGTGATCTGCGCATCGGCTGACACGAAAGACGTCGATGTGCGTGCAACTTATCCGCGCGAAAGGCGATTTATGAAACCCTCAGTTTTTCTCCGCGTTCTGAATGGGGCGGCAACGGTTATATTCGGTACACCGAAGAGTACAGCCATTTATTTCCATAGAAGATTTGCACTAATTTAACATTTGAGAGAATGTTCTCCTAGTCAGTGAATCAACCAAAGTTCCGAAGGTAAGGCGCAAGAGAGTAGTTGGAAAAGGTGTCGTTCGGTGCGCGATAGCTATTTCAGAGTCTCCTGATAGCCGAATTCGCCTTACGTATGGTATGACTTAAGCTATTCTGAACGAAGTAATTATCCGAACCGCAGCATATATCCGAACTCGGCTTTCAAGGAAAACAGACGGAGTGGAGTCGCCCACTTGAATTGTACAAATATTAGGAGTCTTGTATTGAGGATAGGGTGGACTACTTGGTGCTTGAGTAAGCAGTTTCAGATCTGCAGTCAAGTACTATTGAGTTTTTTGATGAGGAATTTCTAAAAAGGATGCTAGATGCCAGGATCCAGAACAAAAGGATGGACAGGGCTATCAGCGGCTGAGATCGCATCATAAACAGCATAAATGAAGAAGGAAGACCGATTGAGCACCGGAACAGTCTGTTTTTTGTTCTGGGCATTTGAATTCGTACAGGAGTTCACTGTCAGAGATAGTAACAACAGAACGAACGGCAATTAAAAGGCGTGATAATCAATCATCGATGAAGAAAGACTGGAGGTGACTGTGCAGGGCTCTGTACACTGCCGTTAAATCGATAAATCGATTGATTGAGTTTTTATCCGAGGCCCAGGCTTCAATCAATTATCAGCCTGTTTTGTTTCCGGCGTGGGCGATTACTTTGTTGGCTGCGAATTTAAACTCGTGACCCATTTGGTAGGTGTGGGCAGCCACTTGTGATAATTCGTCGCCTCGTCGTGTATACGCGATCCTCGCATGCTTACAGTCGGACCTGTGTAGGTACAGAGGATGCGATGCACTACCCCAGATTATTTCCTTGAATTTAATCGGTCCTTAATTCTCATGAACTTTCTGCGCACGGTGGCTTTGGGCCGATGTGCAATTCTAGCACCTAATTCCGCAGCAATGCCCTGGGTCACTTCTGAAATACCCTTAATGTATAGCCGAGAATGAAAGCGGGTAGATCTTTTGTAATGTAGTTAATTCAATTCGGTTTAAGGGATTATGGGTAAACCCAGAGGCGGCCTGTGGGGCCAAAGCCACCATAATATCGACTAGTTCGCGTTGCGAGGGCGCAAGAGAAAGCGACGAGAAAGTTGAGCGAAAAACTCCAGGACGAATGGTGATCTCGTTAGAGTCAGTGCAAGACAGACTCTTCACTTATCGC